AGTTAGGGTGGCAACCGCACGTCAGTTCACTGCCGTCTGCCCATCCGCCGCGTATCCTATATTTTCCGAGAATCATAACGATGATGGTTATATAATTATTGCACGACGCTAACTATTCGCTTAGTTCGCAGCCCACGGGGCTATAATTAGCTTTAGTGCACTCCAGCGTAATTGGCATGGTCACACCGCCTGCGTTCGCCGCGCGGGGGCGCTAGCGGCGCTCTAGCGTCTGCACGTTTTATCCATCATCAACAGCGGGCTGTCCCATAACGAACAAATAATAGCTGAACCCTTGTTCTGCCCGTCCCCGCCCGCCAGGTATCTGTACAGACGCGCGTGCTTTCCATTTCAATGCGAATTGAATTATGGACGAATACAGCATGCGCCGATTGAAACTCCTCACGGTAATGTAATGTAATGTAGATTACTGCGTATTCTTGCGTACCACATTGCATGGTCGGTTCACGTGAATTTCAAGTATGGAAATGCGAAGAGATCACACGCAGAGATTTTGAGGTATTGAAAAATGTGTTGGAGTTTTATTTCAATCTGTTCTAGTTTTGCGCTTTTCCCGCAGTTGCCGTCACTCCAGATCCGCTGGCGAAGTATAGCAACGAAGGGAACTGCACCTGCGGCTGTGCGCTGAACAAGACACGCGGGGCTGGTTACATATCATCGTCCCAGAAACGTTGCGCTGGTCACAATGTCTGGATAATACAGGTATAGTCGGCTACACACACAATACACACGCACACACACAAACACACGCGCGCGCGTGCGTATACGCACGCTCACACACGAACACACAAACACACACACACAAACACAAACACGCGCATACGCACGCACACACGCACACACAAACACATGCACACGTACATATGCATGACGATACACACATATGCATACGCATGCGCACGCACACACACGCGCAGACATACACACGAACGCACATACATACACACGAACACACATACATACACACGCACACACGCGCACGCAAGAACACACACAAACACACACACACACACACACATGCATACACGCACACACGTACATACACACA